CTGCCCTTGCCTCAATTGCTGCCAGTATGCTATCCAAATTGGACAAGCAGGACACAAAAAAGGCAACTGTCATACCTTGCCAAGACATAGTGTCCTGCTTCACAGAAATGTCAAATATTTTAGGTCCATAGGCTGAAGATGGATGCCCCAATGTTGCAGAGGAACCCTGACTTTCCAGGCAGCCAGATGTCTCTGTCATTTCTTAATTTGGGGAGTTGCTTGCTCTGCACTTCCTGTTTATTCAGGTAACATTATATCCATCTTAGGTTGTAATCTTTCCGACAAGCCGCCTGAGCCCTGCCGCCACGTGGGCACCCGAAATAACACACAGAGGTTAATATTAGGTACAATGCTGCTGGCCATTGACTAGGATTTCTTATCTGTTATCTGTTATCAACTATAATTATTAATTTATATAATTTATAAAGACTTATCTGATCAGGGACGCCAGTGGCATGCATCCTCTCTCGTCCGGCTAATGGTGCTCCTTTTTATTTTATTTTTTTTTACATTTCCCAGAATCCTCCTCGACTCCTAGTCACACCTAACTTGCTTCCCTATTGGCCAACAGTACTTTATCGACCAATAAGACAAGCATATACACAGAAGGACCTCCCCCATCATTAGGTCCCTGATGGTGCTTAAGATTAGTTATAATTACAATTTTCTTTAGTCACTAGAGTAAATTAGGAGGGCCAGAGTGATGGCTCAGTGGTTAAGAGCATTGGCTGCTCTTTCAGAGGACCAGAGTTCAATTTCCAGCAACCACACAGCAGTTGACAACCATCTATAATGGGATCTGATGTCCTCTTTGGGCATGTAGGCATACCTGCAGGCAGATCACCCATTCATTTTTTTTTTTTTAAAGTAAATTAGGTACACAACTTTGGACTCACTAAGATACTATAGGTAATAAGAGTATTTTCTCTAAATTTGTCCAATACTAACAGACTGGACATGTGAATGTATTTCTTACTTGATAATTGTTTGTACTGTATACAGTTTTACTGTGTTAGAATTAAAACCTTTCCTTTTTTTTTTTAAGACAAAAAGGGAAATATGGGAGAATTCATTCCACTGTGCCAATAAAGCCACCATGAATCAAAGGATGGAGTCGGCGGTCTAGGAGGGCTGTTAAAGAGGACATGAAGAGAGAATAGAGGACTTTGGGGGGATTTCAGTGGCTAGTGGTTGGGGGGAGGGTTAAAAAAAAAAAAAAACTCCCGTGGTTCTCGGGGAAAAACAACTCTCCACTGTCCTTGGATTTAACAGGACTTTATTTCAATTTCTGACACCAGAATTTTTATTATAGTGGAACAATATATATTCATTATAGCAGGGTATGGGAGTACATACCTTTAATGCCAGCATTTGAGGCAGTGGCAGGTCTACATGCAAGTTCCAGGTTATCAACAGCAACATAGTGAAACCCTGTCTCAAAAAGAGGACATTAGATCCTCTGGATATGTAATTAAACAATTTTCGAGTCGCCATGTGGGTACTGGGACTTGTGCCCAGGTTCTCTATCCACTCCAGCCTCTGGAAGGATTGTTTCAGGAATTCATTTAGCCAACTCTTTCGGAGTACCAGCCCCTTCTGGGCATGGTCTGAGATGCTGTGTGGACTGATAGGCTGGGAGAGATGTGCTCTTCCTTGTGTGGTGGTAGAAGATCCGACCACAGTGGCTCTCCACCTTATTGCCATTCACGACTGCTCCCCAAATACTTGATATCCCTTTATGATGGGCTCTTGTGGACTCTCATACCATTTGTTTTAAATGGTTTCTTAGGTGTCCACCCAAGAGTTCACTGGAGTTACATGAGCATGGGTGATTTAGGCAGTTCCATGACTCACCCACTCAAAACAGGGACTACTCTCAGAAGCTGTATCACTGGATTACTTGGCCAGCTCACAAGCAACGCCACTGAAGGCCTCCCTCCCCAACCAATTATTAGTTGATTATTATGCCTGGGTGAGACACCTAGAGAGACTTTGCTTTGAATTCTTGTAACATCTTGAGCAGTCCTAACAAGAAGGGACCCTGGTTGTGTTTTTTTCTGGGGAGATGTAAACAATTATCTTGAAACCCTACACAGGGCACCAATAACTGACCAAAAGATTCTCACCTGTCTAGATCAAGTGAACAAATGACTTTATTAGTTTCTTCCAGGAACAGGGTGACTCAAAGGCAGCTTTGACAATGGAAAGCCCACTGTGGTCTGGTGAGGAATCCTACATCATGGAGCCTCCTCATAGCTTATAGTCTGTTCCACCAAGTCTCCTCACTCCAAGCACCTGCTCAAAGATTAAACAACCTTGTAGGGGTGTGTGTGTGTGTGTGTGTGTGTGTGTGTGTGTGTGTGTAACTCTGGCTGTTCTCAAATTTGCTCTGTAGAACACAGGCTGACCTCGAACTCAGGAATCTGACTGCCCCCGTCTCCTGAGTGCTGTGATTAAAGGCAATACCCACCACCACACAGCTAACTTTGTAGTTTCCTTGGCTTCCTGAGTCTCTCTCAGAGGATGTTTCAATTTGTAGGGAATAGTTACACAATACTGGAGTGAGCCTTAATACCTATTTCTGGTCAGGAATAAGGATGACTTAAATACAGGAACACCACATGAATCCTACTGTGTGTTGCACACATATAATCCACTACTTGGAAAGTGGAGGAAATATCAGTTCAAGGCCATCCTATGGTATAATGGAGTTCAAGGCCAACCTTGAACTCTCCAATCTGTGGAGATCAAAGTGTTGAATGCCTTGGAGCTGGGGCTATAAGCAGTTGTGAGCTGCTTGCCACGAGCCCTTCCTACCATGATGGGTCACAGACTCACTAAGCAAATCCCCAATTAAATGATTCCTTTCCTGAGTTCCCTTGTTTATGGTCTTTTCACAACAGTAGCACAGCAGCCAATACTGGAACTCACTCTGTAGACCAGGCTGGCCTTGAACTCAGATCTACCTGCCTTTGCTGAGATCAAAGGCATGTACCACCACCACTTTCCAGATGTGAAACTTTTTTTTTTAAAGACAGGGTTCTCAGTAGCTATGGAGCCTGTCTTGGAACTCACACTGTAGGCTGGTCTCAAACGCAGAGATCTACCTGCCCGCCCCCCCCCTGCTGGGATTAAAGGTGTTCAACACCACAGCCCAGTGGGAAACACTCAAACTTCTGATTTTTAAATACATTCTTAAAGCCAGGCAGTAGGGAGAGGTTGGGGTTATATGCCAAGACTCCATCGTGAGGGGGAAAAAAAAATGGAGACACGAAGAAGAGCAGTTAAAGGCAAGATTTGGTCCTAGACTAAAATTCACTCAGTAAACAGGGCTGGCCTTGGCTCAGAGATCCACCAGCCTCTGCAACCCAAACACTGGGATTAAAGGCATGCACCACCATTACCCAGTGACAAACCCCCACCCCCACCTCTCGAAACAGGGTTTCTGTGGCTTTGGGGCTGTCCTGGAACTAGCTCTTGTAGACCAGGCTGGTGTCCAACTCAAGAGATTCACCTGCCTCTGCTTCCGAGTGCTGGGATTAAAGGCGTGCGCCACCACCGTCTGGCTGACAAGGTCTTTTATTTAAACTCCACATGCGAACATCAGATGGTTTTCTGTCCAGGAAATGCTTGGGTTAAAAGAGAGGCTTCTTTTCTGCCCTATTTCTCAGAACCTAGACTATGCTAGTATACCTACCACCAGGCACTAGAAACAGGTAAACATCCCTATGGGGTAGTACTCAATAAATGATATTCACTACCTAGACATACCTCAAGTAGAGGGGCTCTGAGAAGAGGGTTGAGGTCTGGCCCACCAACTGCCCATGTAGCAGCTGTAGTTTCCAGAGAGGCTTCAGTTCCATGAAGACTGGACTACTACCCAGAGTTACTGGGACTCTCCATGTAAGGAAGACAGTGGCAGCAAAGGACTGGATAAGAAGCAAGGCCTGGCCTGGCAGTGATGGCAAATGCTTTTAATCCCAGCACTTGGGAGGTAGAGACAGGCAGATCTCTGTGAGTTCGAGGCCAGCCCTGATCTACAGAGGGTGTTTCAGGACAGCCAGGGCTACACAGAGGAACCTTGTCTCAAAAAAGGCCTGTTGTTCAGCCTGTTTAGGCCCAGTAGCTGAGCTGCAGCTTCTCAGAACTCAAGCCCCTAGGCAGAACGTCATTAGACAATGATCTAGAATACCTGACGAGTTAAATGAAGACATCTTAAAGGCATAACTACTTTTTTTTTTTTTTTTTGAGCGCTCTGCATGTATATCTGCATTCCAGAAGAGGGCATCCACCATGTGGGTGCTGGAAATTGAACTCAGCACTTCTGAAAGAGCAGCCAGTGCTCTTAACCACTGAACCATTCATCTCTCCAGCCTGGTATAACTACTTTTGGGAATGGAGACTAAAGGCTTGAAGAAAAGGCCATGGTACAGAATTCATACAGGCTATCAGTAGTAATGGAGGAGGAGCTCCAGCAAGAGCTGGTCTGAACCAGTTCTGTGGTATGGCAGCCAATAACAAAAAAAAAAAAAAAAAAAAAAAAAAAAAAAAAAAAAAAAAA